TGGCACTTGGAGCCTCTGGCATCTTTGTAAGTATTACAAATTGACTTAACCACAGCTTTCGTATGGCAATCATAAGAGAAGGGCTGCATAAAATGAGCCACATATATGCCAGGAGTTATTGATCACAATGCACGGCTATTTTTAATTAAGGCACCTAAATCCATGGCCTAATTCACAACCTTCCCAAGGTGATACCTAGCCTGACTGGTAATTAACCTGATAGGCTCTCTCTATTAAGCATCATGCTGTCCTTTTGGTTCTATCTCCCTGCAAATAAACTGGGGCTCAGTATCAATTTGTAGATTCAACTCATTTTTCCAAGTCACTGGACTTTGGATAGCATTCGTTTAACAAGAAGCACCTTTTCCATTTTTAACATCTATAGAAGAAATTAACTGAGAATTGAGGATTATTCGGTGGTGGTCTTGATGACAGATTGGCCGACCAGTGGTCTTTTCACTTGCTTCTGAAGGAGAAGCTGGTGTGAGGAAAGTGCTTCAAATGCTGCGTGAGGAGTTTGAACTTACTATGGCATTAAGTGGCTGCCGTTCCCTCAAGGAAATCACTCGTGACCACATTGTAACCGATTGGGACCATCCTCGTGCTCGCCTAGCTCCGAAGTTATAGAAACAATCCCTGGGTGTCCAGCAGCCCCATGCGCAGTAATTTACTCTGGGCACTTGAGAGCATGCCTTGTTATGTAAAGCTGTCGTTTCACTATTGATGGGTCTGCAAATCTTTTGGAAATTTTAAGCTTTTTTTTTTATGGATGATGGATGGTTACAATCTTATGGCTACTGCTGCCTTCGCTGTATATTCTTTGTTTAAACAAAATTATCATATACTATAGTTTTCTCCTTAAAGTGTTGATATTGGATGCATGATCTGTATGTTGATAGGCTCCAATAGTTTGGATGCCAAGCTGCCACTGTCGTGCTGAAAAGCTGTATACCTCCTGCTTTCTCTGAAGCAACCCAAGGGAAAGCTAACTCTGCTCTTTCAGATGCTTTAATCTTGCAAGACTTGTGCAGCTTCGATGAGTTAGCATACATTGAAACAAGCACGGGACTTTCCCGTTTAGAGTTTCACTTGATTCTACTAAGCTGCTCGAAGAGTTGAGGTTCACAGGTATTGAAATCCTGCCTCGGTCCATAAGGGTTCAATTTGTTTGGTATGATGGAGGAAGCAGACCTGGACTTGCCGTTGGTTTTTCTTCACGTGGTATTATTTTTATTTTCTCCATTCGTTCTTTTTTTTTTTTTTGTTTTGTTTTTGTTCTCCATTCGTTCTCTTTTTTCTTTTTTTTGATTTACGTGGGGTGTCCGGATCAGCTTGCACGCACCACGACTAATCCCCACGGCCCACTGAATACCCTGCAAACCCAGTAGGCATGTAAGACACCGCAGGGGTGACAGGCGTGCACACCAAGGCTCGAACCCAGGTGCAGTGGAAGGAGACAAGCCTCTTTCACCACTAGGTCAAGCACTGGTTTGCGTTCTCCATTCGTTATTTTTTTTTTTGATTTACGTGGGGTGTCCGGGCCAGCTTGCGCGCACCACAACTAATTCCCACGGCCCACTGAATATCCTGCAAACCCAGTAGGCATGTAAGGCACCGCGGGGGTGACAGGCGTGCACGCTAGGACTCGAACCCAGGTGCAGTGGAAGGAGACAAGCCCCTTCCACCGCTAGGCCAAGCCCTAGTTCTCCATTCGTTCTTAATTAGTCGCATGATTGTTTTACTGTTCAAACGCAGTAGACACATTGTCCATAATGATTCCTTTTCTTTTTTCCTAATCACTCAGATTTTTTTTTTCAATTTGTTCTTTTTATATTGAATTAGTTTTTAGTCTAGTTTTATAATTTATTTTAATTATTTAAATATAAAAATCTCGTGATATAACAAAATAAAATATAAAAATCTCTTTTTTTCTCTCACCTCTACTTAGTTTTCACATCTTTCTCTCTTCATGGTAGCAAAGTGGAGTATAATTTTTTAATAATAAATTTGATACTCATTCTAATTGTTGTTTTTAACAATAATCATATTTTGATTTCACATATTTACATTTAACAATGGTGTTTTGAATCATGTAAAAAAAATATTAGATGGTCGAAATGGATCATATGAGAAAAACAAAATCCAATGTGGATTATAATAGTTGCTCGCAATATTATGTTCTATTTTTAAAAAAAAAATTAATTGGATCATTTCACATAAAGTTAATTCAAAGCTGAACTTGATGATTTCATTTTAGTTAACTTGTTGTAGGGTTTTCATAGCATAAAAAATAAATCTTGATATTAAGTTAGTATTAATTTGACAAAATAAAATTTAATTTTATTAATTCCAAAAAACTAAAACTTTAGGAATTGAATTTAAAATGGAAATGAATACTTGACCTATTTCTTCCTTATCAGGAGAAATTTTTTTTATTTTAGTCCCTAAACTTTTTGTTTTTAATTCATGTTTCTTGGTTTAAAACTTTATTTGTTTATATTTTGATCCGTAGGTTTGAGAGAAGAAAATGAGGATTATCAAGGAACAAGAGGGGGAAGATGAAGAGGGTTGGTTATCCATAATTTATCCATCAAAAAAGCTTTTCTTGGTGTTAATAGATTCTATATAGCAAAATGAGTTTCGGTATAGTGTTTTTAACCCTCAAATTGGTGGAGAAAGTTGATTAGGTCTCCATTTTTTTTTTATTGTGTTGATTGACATGAGGTTATTAACAAGTTCATTGAGATTTCTTATATGCTTTCTAGAAGTTTTAAAGTAAAAGAATTTGAAAAATGAACTTTTATATAAAATAGGTTAAAGCCTAATATTTTGCCTACCTCACAAAGTGGTTGTAAGGTATTGCGATTTTTAAGGTAATGTCTTAAAAGAAGCTAAAACTTTGAAGATTGAATTTGAAACATAAATGAACACTCAACTTCTTTTTCCTCACTGTACATAAAGTATATTTTTTATATTAGCCCCTAAAGTTTTATTTTTACTTTTTAGTCCCTATTTCTTGATTTTTTATATTTTGGTTCAAAACTTCATTTGTTTACATTTTAGCCCTTGAATTTAAAAGAGAGGAGTGAGGGATCATTGGGAAATGAGAAAGGAGCGAGAAATGGGTTGGTTGACCACAATCCAACAATCCAAAAGGCATTTCCTAGTGTTAATGGATTCCATATCGCAAAAAGAATTTCAATATAGTGTTTTTGACCCTTTAGCTTAGCAAAAAAAGGTTGTCTGGGGCTCTAAAACTTTTTTCAAATTTCTAATTACCTTACATAAGGATTTACAATCAATATTATTTAAAAACATATGAAAGACTTTTTCTAAGTCACTCAAAATAATAAATTCTCTTTTAATTACTTAAATACCTTCATATAGTCATATTACACGTAACACATATCTATTTGTTATTCGTCATTAAGACAACATGTAGCATGATCAAAATATAACATTTCATATATAAAATATCTTTGTGATATGAAATTTAAGGACCACTTACACAGCTATCACGTGAACATTTCAACAAATACATGTGATCTCTTTATAGAAATTCTTATACGGGTCAGTTTAGTATACATGTCATTTTACAAGTACCTGTATATTAGATTTAAATATTCATCATACTTTAGCGTATAAAAGCAACTACTTTTATTTATATAAAAAAATAACATAATATGTATTAATCTCAATAACTTTAATTAACATTCAATTTTAATATAGCATTGATTAAGAACATTTAGTAATGATGCTTTAATGCAATATTAATTTTATAATTATAATAATTTTATTTGCAAAAAACATTTATTACAAAAATTTTATCTTTACTCTAGATTTATTAATCAAATATTTAATAAATACTAAAAATAAATAAGCTTTTATTAATAATTAAATATATTTATGTGAAAAAAAAAATTATGGTCACATATAAACAATCATTTGGTTATAAAATGTGTGTGTGTGTATCGACCAAATTTATTTTGAGTAGCGATGATTATGGTTTTAGTGGAAAGAGTAAATAACACCTGCAAAAAGTCTAATTGAAACAGAAAAAATATAGGCCTGCCAACCACCTATAATAGAATAAATGGAGTTTTTTTTATTTTTTTTTTTTAAAAAAGAACTTGCGAATGGAGAAAGACCTCCCAGAAATAAGAGACATAGGGTAAAAAGATAGCTTCTGTATTGATTAAAGAAAGCTCACAAACACACACACAAGTGAGGAACTTCAAAGGTTTTTTTTTTTTTTTTTTTTAATGAATTATCATTCTGTTCAACTTTACACTCTTATTGCTTTTATTTTTCTTACGAGTAAAAGTTCTATGTTGCAAGCTTTGACTACATTAATATGATAGGCTTTCTTTCACCATATCTAGAAAAACGTTAACAGCTACAAGATTACAAAAGAAAAGAGAGAACACTAGGTTTTTCCAAAAAAAGTTATTTAACTATTATAGGCATTTTTTTATATAAAATTTACTTTTTATTCAAATTTCACAAACTTTAAAATTATTAAAAATTTATATAATTATTAATTTTATAATTCATAAAATTAATCGAGTTAAACGTAAGTCCAAACTTACATTAATTAAAAACAATTATCAATTACTTTCTAGTGAAAAAATATTTAAACTTACACTTCTACTTTCTCTTAATAAACCTTAATCTTATTCTAAGTTATTAAAAAAATAAATTTAATTTCAAAATTTATTATTATCCTATTTCATAAAAGAAAAAAAATGCAACCAAACAATTTAGTTTTCAATTTAACTATGGTAACCAATAAAGTTTCAGTTTTTATTTTTATTTTCCTAAAAAAAAATGAAAACAGAAACAGAAAATAAAAACCAACAAATACCAAAGGATTCCTTAATTTGTATTATTTAGTCAGTAGTGAAGGGTAAAATTGAAACTTTCTATGACATAAGGGTAACATTGAAAATTCTTAAAATATAGGGCTAGAAGTAGAGAATATGGATAAATTTATAAGCGTAAAGACATAGCTTAACCTAAAACCTCGGAGCACAAGGGTTTAACTTCGCATCACCAAGCAGAAGTCTCTCTGAGAAGAAGTTTTATCTGCAGAACAACCCACTCTATCTTCCATCAATGGCGAAGAAAAGAGAGAGGCACCAAAACCCGGAGCCTTTCCTCAAGGAGGATACAGACTCTATTGCTTCCACAAAGACACGAACCAAAGCATCAAAACACCACCAGAAACAACAAAAAGTAATCTACACTTTGTTTTTGACGCCCTTACCCCCCCTTTATGTCTCTGATTTTTTTAATGATTTTCTGTTCTAGATGATATCGTCGGGGATGAGCTCGAAAATCTTGAAAGTGGCGTTGATCCAACAGAAGGAGATTCAAGCTGAGGAAGCGGAAGAGAGGAACCCTAATTTTAATGCTTTGGAGGAAGAATTACCTGAGCGTGAGGAAGAGCAATATGCTGAGGATGAAATTGACGATTTTAGTGGTTTTTCCGAGACTCAAAGCCAATTTAATGATTATCCTGTTAGCATTTCCTTTTGTTTTCATAAATTCTTTTTTATTTCGGCTATTTTGCTTATTGTTTTCTGTAATTTTGTTGAATATTTGTACTCCTTCATTTGATTTTTTTGGAGCTTTAGTTTGTTTGTAAAAGAAGTTAAATTGGGTGGTTTGACAGGAGGAGATTGATGAGAACGATGAGAAATTGCTGGAGGCATTCTTGTCGAAGGATGCTGGTCCACAACAAACACTTACCGACCTTATCATTGACAAAATAAAAAAGAGGGATGCTCATGTTTCTTCAGGTTCATATTATTACATGATTCACCCTTTTTTTCCTTAAATCAGTTTTTGTTTATTTTATGAACCCTTCATTTAGATTTTTAACTGGTGATTACTCTAGTATACATGCTTGAATCTGTATAGTTAACTATTTATACTGTATATCTTTGTTTGATTGCAGAGACACAGCCTATGCCTAAGCTGGACCAGTCTCTCATAGATTTGTACAAGGGGTAAATTAGCTATCCTCTTCTTGACAATATTTTTTCCATTTTCTCTTATTAGAACCTTTCTTCAAAACAGATTTGTGAACGAAATAATTTTTAATGTAATGAAATCACTTTGGTATGATTATGTGTAGAGTTGGCGAGTATCTTAGTAAATACACAGCTGGAAAGATACCTAAAGCTTTTAAACACATCCCTTGTATGCAACTTTGGGAGGATGTCTTGTACCTGACCGAACCTCAAAAATGGTCACCAGCTGCAATGTATCAAGCCACAAGAATCTTCTCTTCGAATTTGGGTGCTAAGAAGGCTGAGCGCTTCTATAGGCTTGTCTTACTTCCTAGAGTGAGAGATGATATTAGGATGAATAAGAGGCTGCATTTCAGTCTGTATCAAGCTTTAAAAAAGTCTCTATATAAACCAGCTGCATTCAACAAGGGAATATTGCTTCCATTGTGTAAGGTATTTATTAGCACTGAAATCTTCTACATGTTTTTTTTTTTTTTAATCAGTGATGGTATAGTCTCTGAATGCTTTCACTTCTCTTACTCATGATAAATTGTTGATGTTGCTCTTCTGAGATTGATCAGATGCATTAATTCACTGCTATCTTCTGTATCTCCTACACTTCCCTGTTTTTGTTTAAATCCAAACTGCTATTTTATAATTTATGTGTTACAATGCAGGACAGGGTGGCTGGACCGATTAGGGTTTAGACAAATTAAAATTTTATGGTTTTATTTGGTGGAGAGTTGAAAATATAGTTTGTATTCCAATTAGTGATTGCAAAAGAATAGAGGCCAACAAAAGAAAACTTAACCCCAAACAAATACCTGACAGGATAGACAAAACTAAACTCTCTGACAAGAAGTTCAGTGGCCTTCAATTCATATGATGCCTGATTCTGATAATTTTTTATTTAATGAACCAATGATTATGCTTTAATATAAACTCCTTTTCCTTTCTTGATATGCAGTCAGGGACCTGCAATCTTAGGGAAGCTGTTATTGTTGGAAGTATTATTCAGAAGGTCTCCATTCCTATGCTTCATTCATGGTATGATTACTTTTGCCAATGACAACCATGTACACTCAGTGCAGGTCTTAATTGGTAATCAAAAGTATCCATATGTTTAGTTATAAAATCATCTTGTTAACTGTTAGGGAGACACAATAACCCCGCTGCATAATCCTCCTGATGACCCTTCAAACCCAGTGGATCCAACACTACTTTCCATATCCCAAAGTTCTCGAATCACTTGCATATTTTGACCCACTGTAAATCAACATGATTCCGTTACCTGTTGACATCTTTTTCATTGTATAGTTGGAATTTCTTGTTGAGAAAGATAAGAATTTCATGATTTACAAATGGATTTTATGAAGTTACACCAATGCTTTTAAACAATTCAAACCCTTCTTTATTTTTTTCTCCTGTTTTGAGACATGCAAGTGGTAATTTCAACATTCAGCACAGGAGGATAAGATGCTTGTGTAGCAGCTGGAACTTTGCACCTTTTATTCTGCCAAGTTTCATGATTTACATATCATTTTACAAAGTTACACCAGTGCTTTTAAACATCTCAAACCATTCTGCTTTAATTTTCCGCCCTCTTTTGAAGACATCCAAGTGATATTTTCGACTTTCAGCACACATGGATAAGATGATTCTGTAGCAGCTGAAACTTTGTACCTTTAGTTTTCCTAAGTTTCAAATACTTGGGAAAGAATCTAACTCTTTTTTTTAATGGGATTGTAGTGTTACACTGTTGAAACTTTCAGAAATGGATTATTGCGGCACAACAAGGTATGTAAATGTATAACATGTATTAAAAATAAAGATAAAAAAGGAGTGTGTAACAGTTAGCAGATTTACTTGCTCATCCATGCTATGCATGGATTTGGTTTGCCTCTGCACTTGAACAGTCTGCGGTCTTACCTTACAAGAGAATGCATGCCTAACATGGATTCAGGAAAACAAGTCATGACTAATGTAGCAAAATCCTAGCAATTTGTTCTGTGGGTTTCTTGATGTGATGCTAGTCCAAAGAATTGTTGATGGTCGCAAATAAACTTCATTAGAAAATGCTGAGAAGAAAACTTGTAAGAGAAGATGAGAGATGAAATGATTGGCAATATCAAGTATAGTACTCTTTTGAGTAATGAAACAATTGTTGATGCATGAACCTTTGTAGTTGTGATTCCATGGTTTAATTCAAGAAAGGATAAGCCAATAACTAATTCAAGAGCGGACCTGTGTAAAAATTCCTTTCAATTTTGGATCTCATGCTTTTTTAGTTGCTAAATGATCTGAATATTACTTGTTACATTGGTAAATTATTTGCAGTTATTTTATCAAGCTTCTATTGGACAAGAAATATGCCTTGCCATATCGTGTACTTGATGCAGTTGTTGCTCATTTCATGAGATTTCTTGAGGATACAAGAATAATGCCTGTAATTTGGCATCAATCACTTCTTTCATTTGTGCAAAGGTTGATATTTTTTCCTTGTTCCTTTCTCTTGCCTCTTTGCTTTGTAGTTGTGTGAAATCTATCTAGAGTGTATAATCTATAAATGCTTAATTTTTGAATGCGAGTTAAAGGGTGTTTCTTTTTAGATTTAGCCATATCTATTCTCTCTTTTGCATTTGTTTCAGATGTACTCTTTTATGTTATTTGTACAGGCTGTTCCCTTTTGCTTTGTTTTATTATGCGTACATGTAACCTGAGGCACCAAGAAAGGGGTTGCAGTAGCTAATTGGAGATGGTTCTGTTTTACTGTGTTTTCATGTGTTTCACAGATTTCCTTCTCTATCTGATGCTTCACGAGTGATAATTAATTTAGCAAAGTAATTAATGTGGATCTGTTTTGCCAAATCAATCAAATGCAGGTCGAGAAGGGAAATTACAAATAATTAGTATTTTCAAATTATTTGTAGTTTATTGTGTACTTTTGGCATCTATAGCAAGTTCTCCATTTTAAAATAATTGCAATATTTAGGATGTCATTGTTGTTAGGACATTTTATTGGTATTTTGCTCAAGAAGGGATTTTGTTTCCTTCTTAAGTCTAGGACTCTTGGTTTTTGTGTGCCCATAGAAGCACTCATATCATTTGTAATCGAAAGGCCATTTTGATGAATGAAATCCATTATTATTGCTATCTCGCAATATCTGGTGTTATACGCAGTGGATCAAGGTCTTGATAATTGATTTCATTGATTAAAATGGCCATTCAATTACATAGAATGTGCTTATATAGGCACATGAGAACTCTTAAAGTTACCTAAACTAACAAAGGAAACAAAATCCACCAAAAGTTACCTAAACTAACGAAGGGAACAGAATCCACCAAAAGCATTCTCAGCAATAATGAGATTTTGGTTATTTGCACCTATTGCAATCAGAGACCTTCTTAGTAATGATAAAACTATACAATTAACAAAATCATTAATAAACTGAAAATAACCCTTCTTGAAAATCACACAATTTCTCCTTTGAGCAGCACAGTATGACATGGGGTGTTTCTTCGTAAAATCTCTCTTGCATCGTTAGTGTTTGTGCGATTAAAATTAAGTAGCTGCATCAAAACAATTCACACTTGCCTTTTCACTCATACAATTGCTGTTGAAATCCTCACAGGTATAAGAATGAACTGCAGAAGGAAGATAAAGATAACCTTAGAAGACTAGTTCTAAGGCAAAAGCATAAACTAGTGAGACCATCCATCTGATAGTTCTCTTTTATGTTTACACATACATAATATTCAAAATGGATCAATTTTGTTTATTTCACAGAAATGTTTAATCTCTGTGCTCATTTTGATTTCAGGTATCTCCAGAAATAATCAGAGAGCTAGACAATAGCCGCAATCGTGGAGAGAAGGATGATCCCATGTCAATAAATATCCTTTGCTTGCAAAATTTGGAGCTTTATACCTCTTTATTGGTCATTTGCCTGTTTTGTTTATTTATCTTATGTTATGTTATGTTATGCTTGTATGATGTAGCATTTTTTTAAGGATTTTTCTGCATATTAACTTGTAGGTGTTGGTTTATCAGCAATTCATGAAATGGCATCTTCTTAGAAGTCATAGGGATGACAATGAGATGGATGACAATGCATGGTCATTATATGTTCTTGGTGAATAGTAAAGAGATTGGGTAGACTGAATTTAATTTATTGATTAGAAACTAGGAAGTGTAGTTTCACAAGTCCTGTGACATGCGTGTTAGAAATTATTTGGGTGAAAAACAATTGCATGCCTGCCTGTCTTCTTACAAATCATTTTTCCTTTCTATTCTTGGATATTGATGGTTTTAACCCTTGTGTTGCATGCTTGTAATACAATGATTTTACATGCATTTGGTTAAGTCGGTCATGTTTGTATTATTTTCCTTATTCAAGGTTTATGAAATTTTCAATCACAAATCCTCTATATGAAGGTGCTGATTTGCTTTTTATAAGCATGAAGTCGATGATTTTATAATGGTGCAATTTGTTTTTTGTTTTTTTTTTTTAAAAAAAACTACAATAATTGTTACTGCTAAGTGACATTTTACATGATTTCTCTCCCCTAGTCCTGCAATTATTATACTCAGTTGGATTAATTCTTGATTCCTTGACTTCCCTATCACTATCTCCTGTTTCGGTGATAAATAAAACAATTGAGGAAGACAGGTTTGATATTCCAGAAGTACCTATGGAGGAGGACTGAATGCTTAGCCTTGGTATGACAATCATCCTCTATTTATTTTGATGTTAGCTAAAAAGATTTTAGATTGCTTTTTTTTTTTTGTATGGATGTAATCATCCAAACAACTTCAATGTTAATCTTGGCTTAACCACCAGGGTATGGTACTGAAAATCATTCAGCTTTTTTTTTTTTTTTAGCTAATTGACGTCATGTTCCCATTGCAGGTTCCAAAGATTTTATAATGAAGCGATATGCATGGATGTTTGCATGTTTTTTGGGTGAATTCATATATTTTTTTTGTTAAATTCAATTAATTAGATATCAAGAGCCAGTAGAATTTCGGATATAGCAAAATAGTTTTGGATCTTTCACTCCTGTATAATCCTTTTTTTTATTAACCAGATTCCTATGTGATGTTTATTTACGTTTTGATTTTGCATGAAGGTTTTTTTTCCTTCACAAACATCAATTTTTTGTTTTTGTTTTTTTTTTTTTGCATCATGCGCTTCTGCATTTAACTTCTAGACTGCTATATTATAGATTGATTAAGCTGGCCTAACTAAATACTTCTCTCAATTGACAACATGTTCTCAAGTTGATGCTTGATGACAAAACATAGATTCATGGTTAATCGTTCTTGTTTCCCTCTCTGCTAAAATATTCTCTTCAATGCATGGTGCAAGTTATTAATGCCCCGGAAATTCTACGATCACATTCACCGTTGCTCTCCATGTACGGTTCCAGAGGCTTGTTTTCTTCCATTTTTTTTCTTCTCAGATGATGTCATCCCGTGGGCGGCGGCGATGACCGCCATGGATGGTCTCTTGCTTATTCATCCTGCAAGCGCCTGAACTGGACTGACTGTGTTCAAGATTAATCTCAAGTTATCGTCCTCTTTTCCAATTTTCAACAGCTTACTTTTCATCGCATGCCTCCACAATATAGCATAACATTTCCTTAGCCGACACCCAAAATTCTCTCTGGCTGCAAATTGACCAAAGCCTCACGTGCATGGATTGCATACCTACCAATTTGTACTCTTGGGGTAAGCGGCTATTACTAGCAAGACGTGGTCCATTCCCCCTTTTTCTCATCCTTGGCATTAAACCGATCTGGGCTTGGTCTAATTTAACATTGAATGGCTGGCATTAGATACCTGCCGACGCCATGAATGTTACGGATTGATAGATGTGATTGGTGTGTTAGGAGTGTAGTGTTATTTATTTTTTAAAATATTTTTTATTTTAAAATATATTAAAATAATATTATTTTATTTTTAAAAAATATTTTTGATATTAGTATATCAAAATAATTTAAAAATATAAAAAATATAAATTTAAAATAAAAAATATAAATTTTTTATAACCTTTTTAAAAATACTTTTAAAATATAATACCCAACACAAGTTCCAGTAAAGCATATTTGATTTCCTATAATCACCAATTTTTTCTGAGCGGTTCGAAAATGTGAATACAAATTATTTTTAAAAAAATTTAAATTTTTTATTAAAAATTAATTTTTTATAAATTTTAAATTATTTTGATACACTAATCTAAAAAATAGTTTTTAAAAAATAAAAAATTAATTTAATATATTTTAATATAAAAAATACTTTAAAAAATAAATATAACTATACTCTCAAACAAATCATTATTATTTGGTAATGATTGTAGTAAAGGGTAGCATGTCTGACATTATATTATTACTATTTAGTTATTTCTGGTTTATAAAAAATAAAAAAATAAATTTTATATTTAAAATTAATTTTTAATTTTTAATCATTTTTATATGCGGTTTGTCAAAAATAAATTAGAAAAAAATTTAAAATTACTTTAATATATTTTCAAATAAAAAATAATTATTTCTCCTCTATAAAACAAATTCTTGATTATTTCTGATATTCGGATCGCCACGTCAAAGCTCTATGATTGAAGTTTAGCATCATCATACGACACGAACCCAAATTAAAATATCATATTCACACACAGACGCGTGTGTGTGGATGCAACAAAAAATAATGCAATGAGACCTCCATCTCTGCCTGCTATTGTAATTTCACTGGCTACGCAAGTCAAAGAGAGATGATGATGGATACATACGATGATGATATTTTGATGATTTTTATTTCTTGGATTCTTATGTGGTGGCGTTCGTGTGGATGAGGCACGCCACGAAGTCACCAAAAGGTATGGGAGGTGGCTGCAAAGATGTATGACAGGCAGTCGTTTTCATCGGAAAAAAAAAAAAACAGAATACTTCTTTTACAATTATGCAAAAATATTCATTCACCACTGATGCAAACCGACCAGCCGTTGGGCTCTTGACACGTAGGTTGCAGTCGTCTTTTCTCCCTTTGTGGGAAAATTTGGAGCTTTCAGAATTTTCTGAGAAAAGCGGCTTTTGATTGGATCAGTCCAGCTCCAATCGAAATGCAGTAGCTAGGAGCCTGTATAGAAAAGTTGCGGGTGACGTTGTGGTCCATCGTAGAATCAGAAATTGTGGGTGTAAGCAGTGGAGTATCTGTATTTAATTATTGTCAGCATTCTTGGAAAGCTGTTTTCCATTCCCTCTTTACCTTCTCGATCGTTCTGTTCCTTCCATGGCGATGCGGGACCATTTCTTGTTCGGTTGTTATCAGCCTTCACGGTAAGCAAGTCTACTGACTGTCTGCTGTTTCCAAGATGACATCACTGTGGTCACATGGCGGATCAAGGGCTGTCTGCAGCTACAGTTTGAAGCAGAACTTGTGTATCTTGGCTTGCTTGTGCTTGAAGGATCAAGCAAATTTTTAGTCCCATGTTAATTTTAATCAAATCCAGCTACCTTTGACTGCTGAAACCCAGCACCATTTTTTAATCCCGTGTTTATAAGAATCGATGCATGGTGTACAATTCCTTCTCAAAGCTCAGCTGCCATTTCAATAAATATTAATAATTAATTTCTTCTGAGACTATTACACATATTGTGCTTGCACAAACACACTTATCAATTACACATTGTTTATTAATATTCCAATTCTTAATTAGCTGATATTTCTTTGACGTATATGGCTGCAATATATCCTTCAAATGCACAAGCTTAATTTGCAGATTTTTAAAGTTGACAAACAATTTCTTATGTCACTTTCTTCTGTTCTGTTCCTGAATTTATCAAAAAAGGCTAGGAAAGTTCTAGACCTTGACTTAAGCTGCCAATCCCGTATGATAAGTAATAGTCTTGGACCTATTTTCTCCTCAAGGTTTTTCCTCGCACTTGTAAACTTACCATCAGCCCCTTTCACAAACAGGCTCAAAGAACTCGTGTGGAAAATATGAAGCTTCTGTGGAAACTTCAATTTGTCCAACAAAATCACTGATCATCTCTACGGCGGCTGGAATTCTTGGGACATTCTAGACCTTACAATGTACACTTGGATTTATAATAATATTTGAGGTCATAAAATTTTACAAGTTTGACACAGATTTCTGGTTATATATATATATATATATATATATATATGAAGTATCAACCTGCTACTGGTGCATGCTTAAGCTTCCCGCCAACACAAGTTCTACGCAGTAAAGCCACAATGGTGAAATCCTGCATGGGCAGCGGACAAGCCAGCAATTAATTTATCATGCATCTTGACGTTTCACGCTATATATAGCTGCAAATAATAATTTAACCATCTCCAAGTACAGACTCAGTAGCCGTCATGCTGATGAGATCTTTATTTAATTAACAATATCTCAAACCTTTTGATGTTTCCAGTGATCTTCAAGGTATATATGCATGAAAAATCTATAATAATCTTTCTGTACTCCGGAGTGTCTGTGGCCTCACACAACGGCACTGCATAGCTGATCTCAACTAAAATTGAATGTTTTGAATATATAGCATGCCACCGTTTTTGAAGTATCATTGACTTGCAAGTTAATTTAATTTGACTACAGAAATCATAGTTCCAAAGTTCCTTTTTTATTTTTCTTTTTTAACCATGGAAATTGGACTATCCAAAAAAAAAAAAACACACCATATTAATATTTTAATTTGAAGCCTTCAAAGACAAAGAGGGAAATAATCTATCAATTATAAAACAATATTTAATGGATGATTATGTGAAAAAATTACCGATGACACAAAAAATTAAAATCATTCCTGTTTATGATTCTTTTTATAGAAATTCAAGCAGTTTTTAGTGGTGATCGACGCGTCCTCGACCGATAAATGAGTCATGAATCTCTGGTGTTTTGACTTTTGATGCATCATAAGACACCGGCCATTGCCACAATGAATATTTACACACAACTAGAGATCGCAACGTGTACAGTGACTATATATGACCATATGCAATGTCTTCCAGCTCCTCTAACTTGTTCTTTTCATGCTTCTAATAGTCCTCGCGCGTGCAATGACGTAAAGAAATTAAGAGACAGTGCGTTGGAAAACTTTGTAATAATTCTGAATGGAAGTTTTGGAGCTTTTGAACATTATAGTCAAGAATCTGTCTTCTTCTATTATTACCGATGGCAGAATATTGCTGTGGTTTCCCTCGCATTGTAGCCAAGCTAAAGCTGCAAGGCGGGGGCCATGTTCACATGGCGATGCTGTAAACTTGGTCTCAGAATCAAAATGCCGAAAAAAACCAGAACCACTAGATGTTACTAACACGTTCAAATCATTGGTTTTGAAGTTCTCAGGTCAAAGAGGTGGGTGCTTTAAGCTTTGTTTTTTCTCTAAGCACAGAACTCATTGAAAGCACCCGATGAGAAAATACAACTCACAAGGAGAAGAAAAAGCTAATAAAAAGACAGAAAAGAAAACATCCGAATAATAATACAAAAGAAACAAAGCTTGCCCTCCATAATTTCTGTCAGTTTCCCTGTAACTTTGGGAATTCTGTCATACATTTTGATATTTAGATTAGACTAGTTTATCCCCGCGTTTTTGCTGCTAGTAGACTCCTTTAAATTTCTTCGTAAAAAATATCTAGACGGCTATAAACTTCCCATTAGTGTTAATAAGCTCCATGTAATAATTCAAACTTAAAAATTTTAAAGTTGATGTTTTAATTAATATTTAGTCCATATATTAAACCTACTATCTATAAATTCTACAGAGACAAATTAAATTTTTTATTTTATGATAAAAAAATATAAAAATTAATGCACCATCAACTAAATACTAAAGGCTAATATTCAATGTAAACTTATATTAAATGATAAAGCTGAAAAAAAAACACAAAATCTAAAAATAGAGCAAGAAAATCTCAACTCGACTCTTTGATTAATATTTAATTAACCTACCAAGCTCATAACATTGGTTATGGATTCCATTAGGTTGAATTAATTATTTAATTTTATTATATGTTAAAAAATACAAAAAATTGGTTTATCATCAACCCAATACTGAAGAATTAAAGTGAATATCCATCCATTCTCCAACACATTATGAGG